GTCTAAAAGTGTGTCAATGACCTTCAACAAGAAAATCATGAAAGAATTTTTTTTTTAAACAAAATGTATTTAAGCAATCATAAAATAAAAGTAAACAAATTAAATATCCTGTAGGAATGCTCTCGTAAACGATAAAAATAATTTAGGATAAAATTGTGTCTATACACGTATTTTCTTTTTAAATATTTATATTTCAATTTTCCTATTTGTTTTCCACTTTATATTTTAATTGACACGACAAAAAATATATATATATATTATATGTATATATATATATATATTTATATTTAATCGTATAAAACTTAAGATTTATAAAAGAAATTTTTGCACAATAATTTTTCGTAATAAAGTACAATTTAGGGAGAGAGAGAGAGAAAAAAAAAATTAAAAGGAAATAAAAGGATTCCAGAGATTTCTAAATATTTAAACACTTTGGAATTCTTTAGTGTGTGTATGCGTGAAAATATTCTTATTTCATTTCATTTTTCTCAATATTTTTTCTTATTTTATTTTTTTTATTAATCCTTCTCCTAGTTATATTGTGTCTATATTTTAACGTTTATATAATATAATAAAGGAATATTTAATTAAAATTTTCTTTTTTCAAAGAATGAAAAAAAGAAAAATACAAAAATTTAAAAGAGCAAAACAAAAAATATAACAGTCTTTATTTAAAAACGAAAAATTAAATGTGCCAATACATTGTTTAACCATCACAATATGCTTGAAAAGAACAATTTCATAAATTTGCACAATATCCACTTTCAAAGTAATTAGCGCAAAAAAAAAAATAAGAAACCAGAAAAAAAAGAAAGAATAAAATTTTATTCGAAACTTATTTACCTACCAATTTATGCACTAGTATTTTTTTATACTATTATAGAAGAGCGCAACTACAGCATACCCATATTATTCTATAATGTATATTGAGCGCGATAAAGGTATGCTTTTATTTAGTTATATTAAGATTATAATATTATTATGTCTTAATTAGCTAGCGTATTGCATATTCATTTAGAGTTTTCTTGAGATTTATGTAGAAGTAAAAGATTATTAAATACAACCCTACAATAGCATACTATTTTAAAAAATTTATTATAAATATTGTGGGACGGCGACACATTTATGTTAAATTTTAATGTATACTCTGTGTCATTTTGTATAACACCAATAGTATTCAAAGTGATTAATTAATGTTAAATTGGAAATTTTAATAGATGGCCCTTAAATTGATGTATCCATATTGATCGTAACGCTCTACACTGAAAATCACTTTTAGTTTTTTTTCTCTATAAAATCATGAAATATTTAAATTGATATTGCAAATATTAAATTAAATAAGATTTAGTTAATAATATTAATTAATTTATATAAGTAAATTGATTGTGAAATGTGCTCCATTCAAATATTGATTTTAATTACACACTTATTTTATATTTACTAACAATTTAATTTAATTTAGATTTTACGTTAATATACACAATATTATCTTGTTTCTGTAAAATCACTTTTATCTCATTTTTAAAAAAAAATCTCATCTTATACAATTTATTGTGCATTTTCAATATTGAAAATTCGATTTTCAAATAATAATTCCCATTAATCTAAGAAATAGAGTGCCAGAACATATTGTGTGTAGTTTTTTTAGTTATTTTTCAATAATGAATTTAAGAAAACCAGGAAAATAATGCCACAATTGCTCCTTTTGCCATTTACGTGGGCAAGTTTTTGTTTTCTGAATAAGAATAAATCTTACGTTAGTTTTGAATTGTATGCATATGTAAGACTATTGAACGCTTTCCTTACAATTTAATTTTTATTTTTGCATATTTTCTTTATTTAAAAAAATCTCTAATCGATTTTGTTAGCAGGATTGCCCTTCCATGATTCAGAAACAAAACTCATTTTATTGTTATATTTTTTTCCGAATATTTTTTTTAATCTCATTTAACAAGTTTGTTAATTAACAATGCTACCAAAAGGGAGGACTCATTGATGATATTTTACAATTAAAAGCAAAAAAAAAAGTTGATAATAAAATAAAAATACAATAAAATAGAAAAAGAAAGCATTAATAAGAGAGAGAGAGAGAAAGAGAAAAATAAAAAACGAAAGAGAAAAACGTAAACTCTGTTCGAGGCTATTAACATACTAAAAGTTTAAAAATAATTTACAAAAGTTGTCAGACTACTGTTGACAGTTATCTATATAAATTCCTTATTTCTCTGCTTCAATACACGTTATCAAAATAAATGTGATTTTTAATTAATGCAGTAAATTGATGTTCATGATGTGGGTAGATAACGGTTTGTTTATACTTGTACATCTGAATCAGTTGACAGTAGTGTAAATTTGTTAGATTTACACACAATTAAATAGTAGCATATCATGTACTTATATGTATATGTACAACACATACGCACAAAAATATAAAAAGGATTATGTAAATTTTATTTATCTGTATTAATTAATTAATTAAAAAATTCTTATATAAAATAAATTATTAAATTTTATGAAATTTTATTTTGTATGGTTCTTATCAGTTGTGTGTTTGTTATTATGTATGTATACACTTATAAAATTTTAGTTCTAAAAATATTTTCACTCAAACCCTTTTCAAAATTGTATCAATTTATTTATTGAATTAATATTGTTGTAATACAAGGAACTACATATTTTCTATAAACTTTTCTTTTATGTTTAGCTAGACGCGTAATATAACATATTTCTTATGATTGCATAACTAGAGGCTCAATTAGAGAAGAAAATTTGTCCCAGGCGCAATGAACTTCCGAATTTTTAAAGTAAATTCTATAATAATGTTAAAATTTTATTAATATTGAAAATGATTTTGGAGCAAATTTTAAGGAAGAACCAAGATTACATACATTTGTTTAATTATAAATAGATATCTCATTTTGTTTGGTTTAGCGAATAACCTTCAACGTTTATTAGAAATGTAAACATTATTTATTTTTTAAATTTTGATCAATTCTTCGAAATCGTAAGAAGTTTTTGAAAAAAAAAGAAATAATTTTGACAAATTTTTTGAATAAACGTTTTTCTCATTTTAATTGTACTACTTATTAACTATCCAAATTAAATCTATTGTTGGATTATAGACTTGAATGAGGGAGCAAGAATATAATACATATTGTTTCACCTAAGTTTACATTCAAGTACATTTATGTGGCTTTTCTTTATTGTGGAAATATTTAAATACATACTGGACTATTAAATGCTAGAGCCCGAAAAGTTTCATTAAAAAATGCTAGATAGTTTATTTTAAATGGGATGGTGATAACTTTAACTTTAATAAAAATATTTTCGGAATTGAAATTTTAATTTTTATGCTTGTGGAATGCCATTTCAATTTCCAAAATTAATATAACCATTATTAACCTTGTATTTTATTTATTCTATACAAAATAAAATCTAACTGCTTTACAATCGTGGGTGAATTGAAAATAATTTGAATTGTTTTAAAACATTTTCGTTCTTCTTATAATTGCTTTAAGAACGTAAATAATTTATTGCTACATTTAACAATTTATTTTTTATATATATATAACGTATTTAAATTTTTCATTTTTAATTATACCAGAATAATTTTAAAATATTTAATTGCTATAATATGCAATTTTAATAATTTAATAAAATAAAAGAAAAAATTTAAAACAATTTGTGTGTATACGAGTATTAAAAATTCTTAAATGCCTACTTTCCAAAATATGTATATATATGTGTATATATATAAAAGAAGAAAAAGGAAAAAATTAACAGTTAAAACTTTATAAGACTTTTCATTTTATGCCAAAATTTTTAAGAGCCAAAATTTGTATCCATAATTTTTTTTTAATTTGCTTTTTGTTTTTTTTGTCGTATTCCTAATTTTTTTCTTTCTGTGTTTTCAATGTTAAATTTTGCTTGAAATTATCTAAAATACAATAAAAATAAAATAAAAGATGGCAAAAAAAAAATACAAGTAGGAAACTTATGTAAACATTAAATATGGCAATTAATATTTTCTTCTTATATACATAGGTATGCAATATGGGTAGGTACTTATATAATATACAGTATATAATATTATAATATTATGTATATAAAGAGATAGAATAAAAATAAAGTAATTTATCTTATGATTACTTCTGTTTTGGTTAACAAAAACAAAATGAATGGCAAAAACAAAAAAAACGGCAAAAAAGGTTGTTATGATGGTCGTCGGTTTCTTGTAAATACAACAAAAACAATAATTATTATAACCGAATAAACAAGCAAGCAAGAAAGGCACTATAGTAAAAGCCACCAAAATAACAAGAAAATAATAAAAACATATTATAACAGTTATGAACATTAGCAAATACAACAACCCAAAATGGTGCAATTTAGACTGTGTTTCAAATGTCGTAACAATTTTGTTTTCATGTTTTATGTTCAGTTATGTTTCAATGTTTTTGTTTCTTTTTTCGTTATTTTGTTGTTATAATCGTTATTTTCTGTTTTTTTCTTTTTGTTATTCTGTTATAATATAACGGTATATCAAGTATTTTACTGCTTAATTTCACAGTTTTATTTTGAATTTTTCCGTTTTTGTTTTGTTTTTTCTTGTTATAATTTCATTTCTTGTTTAACGAGCATTTAGAAATGTTATATAATTTTTTTTTTATTTTTCTTGTTATTTTTTTTTTAGTAACTGTTGGGTGATACCACTGTTTTTCTTCTCATATTATTATTTTGTTTATAGTTGCTGCTATTACTAATATGATTTTGTTTTTTTTTTTTTTTTGTTGTATTATACTTATAGTTGTATGTCATAATATCATTTACATGAATATATATTTACAAAATTACTTAATTTAATGTTTTTATGATTTTAGTGTGTTATAATTTGGTTGTTTATTTCATGGATTAATCGAAACAATTTGTAAATTCATATAGGGTAATTTTCTAGTTTCCGGACACTCACCGGTTTTCGGACACTTTAGTGGTTTTTTTTAAATAATAAGAAAATTTCAAAAGCTCCACCAAAAAGCCAATAACATTTTTGTTTCGTCTCATTATTTTCCGCCATTTTGTAAAATAATATTTTAATAAACTGTACATTATTAGTCTGAAAGTTGTCTTGAAAGTGAGAAGGTTGAGTAGTAAGTGATAAAAGTGCAAATTTTCTAAAAAAAAAATAACAAACAAGTTGACGGAAAAAGTAAGTTTTTAAGTTATTTTTTATAAAATTGTGTGATATTATTATATATTTGTGTTGGAAAAACATTCAATTAACTTTTAAAAGGTTTGTTTTTTTTAAAATGTTAAATATTATTTTTATTATTAATAGTCCGCTTTCTAAAACTAAAAAATTACATGAATTTTAGTTCCCGGACACGATTGTCCGAATACTGAAAAATTACGAAATTTACAATTTGACAAATCTTTATGCATGATAACTTAAATTTGCATATTTTAAAGTTACTTTCAAATTTTTAGCCTTTAAATTCGTAAAAATTCAGTTTTCGGACGCGAAAAAAACAAATATGGCTACTTGTCCGAAAATTAGTATATATGTAACATAGCACTGTTTATTTTCCGGACAACCTCTTTTTACTATGCTAAAGAAACCTATCTACATTAAATTTTTTCGCCGTCTTACCAATTCGTTTTCAACTTCTTCAGCAAAATGAACGAGGACAAAATTAATCAAAAAAATTCAACAAATAGTCAATCGAATTGTGCGAAAGATACCGGAAATAAAACAGGAGCTGCATTTAAAGATATCCGAAATAATAAAATAAGTATTAGAGCCGCAGCAGAAAAATATGGGATACCCCGCTCAACACTGCATGACAAATTGTCCAGATCCTGTTCTCACTAAAGACGAAGAATTACAAATAGCTGAATGGTGTGGAAAACTAAGCAAATGTGGATTCCCACTTAAAGTTGATGATTTGCTTAATACAGTGGAACAAATTTTGAAGCACACTGGACGAGCAAATCCATTCAAAAATGGACGTCCTGGTAGAACATGGCTTCGTGGTTTTTTCAGACGAAATCCAGGGTTATCGTTGAAGGAAGCAGAAAATATCACCAAGGGTCGTGCTGTTGTTACAGAGGAGTATATCAAAAAATGGTTTCAAGATCTTTCAATTTTTCTTGAGAGTATAAGTCAAACTACTTTACTAAATGACCCTAGGCCGATCATAAATGGTGATGAAACGAGCTTCAGCTTGTGCCCAAAAACAGGCAAAGTCATTGCTCCCAAATCATATAAAAATGTATACCAAATACAAACGGGGAACGAAAAGGAAACTTTGACAGTGCTTTTCGTTTGCACAGCTGATGGCAAAGTTCTACCCCCAATGGTAATATTCCCGTACATTAGACCACCAAAAGAAGTTGTTGACAGTGTACCTCAAAACTGGTTTTTGGGACGTACAGGAAGCGGTTGGATGCGTAATGAAACTTTCTTTGAATATGTGGCAAACTGCGTAAATGTTTGGATTGAAAAACAAAATATTCCACGTCCGGTATTGTTTTTTGTTGATGGTCATAAATCTCACTTAACCATGGAGCTTAGCACTTTTTGTGACGAAAATGGTATAATTTTATATGCTCTTCCTGTTAACACGACCCACATAATGCAGCCACTGGATGTGAGTGTCTTTAAGCCTTTAAAAACAGGCTGGAAGGAAACGGTTAGAAATTGGCAATCAAAAAATTTTGGAGTAGCTTTAACAAAGAAAACATTTTGTCCATTTTGGAACAGGAAAAAATTCAAAAAGCTGATGCAATTAAACAAAGAAAATTGGAAAGATTGCAGAAAAGGGAGCTTTCAGTTAAAAAATCTGAACTCAAGAGAAAATATAAAAAATCTAACTATAAAAACGTTTCCTTAAAAAAGGAAAAGGAATAATACACTAATTTTAATGCAAAAAAAATTCCAAAGGCTAATATGTAAAAGATATAAATAATAATATATAATATATAATGTAATATAATAAATGTAATTATTTATTTAAATATGTTAAAAACTATAATATACAGTTAAATCTATGTAAACAGCATCGTTATGTAAAAGTTAATATTTTTGTTTTTTATACTAATGTACTATGAATTGTTAAAGTATTTGTTTTTATTTTGAATAAAAGTCTGAACTCAAAGAATAAACTCGAGTTAATTTTTCGAAAAATATGTGCTTTCTATAAACACAATTTTTTACTTATATTATTAAAAACCTAAGAGAAATTCTTGTTGTCCGGAAACTAAAATTTTCCTGTCCGAATAATAGAATTTTATGTCTGGAAACTGGAAAATTTGACACTTTTTTTTTAAACCTAAATATTTTATATACCATTCACAAAAATGTCATCAACCTGAGCTTTTTTACATAGTAAATTTGGTAAAGTTTAAGAAAAATGTGATTTTACAACCGGACATCTTATTTTGGCAGAGTGACAACCTTCCAAAGTCAAAAAAAAGTTATTCGTCCGAAAACTGGAAAATCACCCTACATACATATTATGTATGTACATATTTATATTTACGTGTAAAATATGATGTAATGTTTGTAACAGCTATACAATATACGAAATGAATATAGAATTATATTTAGGATGTTTTTCTTATACTATTTCTTTTATGTTGTATACGAGTATGCTAAAATTATTTATTCTTGTTGGTTTTTTTATGCTGTTAGAAAATAACGACAATTATATAATGTTCATGGCAATCCTGGTGTTACAAAATATCCGTTAATTAATGACTTAACGTGAATGATAAAGCATTTTGTTAAGGATATTAGGATTTTGGTTTTTTTCTCTTTCTTAATATTCTTTGTTTTATTCTTTTTTTTTTTTTGTTTTTGTATAAGAATTTTCAGATTTATTATTATTTTGTTTTTTGATTCTTTTCCTTTTTTTTTTGGTTTTTGTTAAACTAAAGGAAATTACCCTTGAAAATCCTAAAAAAAAAAAGATGTAGTTTTGATATTGAGAAAGAAAAAAAATTGTTGTTGTTTTTTCCTTTCATATTGCCTTAATCGTAAGAAATTAATTAAAAAGGAATAAAAGCAACTCAGGTGCAAGGATATTTTTAGTATTTTTATACACATCAACATACATAGATTTTTAATCCTTATATTATATACACACATATTACTGTTTTTTTTTTGTTTACTATATTCTTTGATAATGAGATTTCGAAATTAATTTTTTTAGGCGTTTTTCTTTGTCCTTTTTTTTTGTTTGCTATACAATCTTTATAGTTTTTGTTTGAATGCAATATAAAAGTTTTTAATGTATAATACAATAATATTAGCAGCTAGCTATATGTAAGTATGTAAAATGTGTGTAAATCATTAGGTTGTACATGTAAGGTTTTTGTTAAACAAAATGCTATATAGTAGTTATGAAAATGATAAATGAATTTTTATTGTTATATACGAAAAATGAAAACATGTTCTAAGAATAAAAGTAATTATTGATTCTAGTTTATAATTAGGCATATATATATATATTACGTATATTAGGTATACCTATAGATGCCAGTGTATTTTCAATATTAGAAGAAAATTGTAGGATTCTTTTCATATAAAAGCAAATTGATGGGATTTAATCAAAATTAAAGTATAGGAATTTAAAAAAAAAAGGAATAGAAATTTTATGTTTACATAGCATATTATACCTAAATAACATGTTATATTCGCTTAAGGTATTTTTTAGTATTAGAAGATCATAATTTACATGACAATTTGCTTAAAATGTAATCATATTATATTTATGTAAGGATGAAGTTAACTAAAGAAAATTTGTACAAATATGTAAAGAATTATGTTCCTAAGTACATAAAATTTTCATAAATTGCTTAGAGTAATTTTTGCATAATGTAATTTAGTATTGATCGAAGAAGCTGTTTGAATACTGTTTAGATTACTTCAACGATAATTAATTGATATTTCAAGAATCGTAGAAGTTAAAGCGACTCGCAAAAAAGTTATACAAATATAATAAATTTTATTAACAAAATTAAAAATAATTTAAATTTTAATTTTTGTTATCGTAATAGTGATTTAACAGAGAATTGTGTACATGATCATGTAGATTATATGAAAAATATCTCAGTTGCAAGTCGGTTCTTTGTTAACAGAAATATTTTCTTTTTTCTAACATCATTATAAGCAAAAATTTGCTTGTATGTAAATACAGTCGAACCTGGTTATAACAATATTGAAAATTTCACGGTTTAAAAAAAATTTGTTCTAAAAGTTTTCTCTTTTGTTTGTAAAAGAAACTTAACAAAGAGAAGAAAGAAGTGTACGCGACAAGTATATTTTGTGTGTATGAAACATTTTTACTTGCAAGAGAAAAATTTATAAATGTGTGAATTCCGAAAAAAAACTAGAAAAATTTTATTTTATTAATAAAGAATTTTTGCTTTTATACAAACTGCTTCTAAAGGGGTTCCACTGTATATACACACATCCAAACATAAAAGTATAAATTAAATTTAGTACTCGTAAGTATATATAAAAAAAAAATTAAATTTAAAGTTGAAACTCTATAAGGTATACAACGTTAAGAGAGCAACAAAATGAAAAAGTTTTGTGGCTTACCATTAAATTTCTTTCATTGAAACTTTACGATTTTCTTAGAAATTTAACAGTGTTCAAAAGCGTTAAAGAGGGAAACTTTTCGTTTTTCTTCTTGTGTTATTTGTTGTTTTGTGAAAAAAAAACTTTTTTCTACTCTTTTTTTATATTCAAATAAAGAAGTTCAAGTAATTTAATACTTAAAATACAAAAAGAAAATAGTAGGTACCAACAATGATTTCAAACATTTTTGTTGCTTTCCTTTTTTTCTCTACTTTTTGATTTCTTCTTTTTATTTAATTTTGTTTCAGTTTTTTTTGGTCCATTGTACGGAAAATAAGATTTTTTTTTAATCAAATAAACAATAGATTCAAAGTAATTCAAAAATTCAGGTAAATTACATTCTACTTTTGTTTTAAAATTTTGAATAATGTACAAAAAAAAAAGAGAAGGAAATAAAAGCAATGAAAATAAAAATTAAAATTTTCAGTTTAAAAACTAAATTTAATATCGTTTTTTGTAATGTTGTTGATGAAGTTAATCCAGGTAAAAATTGAAATAGAAAGGTAAGTTTTGAGAAAAATGAGAAAAACAAATTATTAAATGGAGAAAAGAAGGAGAAAAAATTTTTATATTTTTTATCTCTTTCTCTTTCCTTTTTTGTTTTGTTTTTTTTTTTTTTTTGTATTGAATTCCTTTGTATTTATTCGCCTTTTTTACTTCATATTTTTGTTTAAGAAATTAAAGTGCCTCTTTCTCTTTCTTATATTGTTGTAATTGTAAATTGAAAGGACTAAATATTCTTTAATTTTTTATCTTGTTTGTCTCTTTTTATTTCGTTTTTTTTTTTGTTTTTAAATAATTCCGGTTCTTTTTTTCTTTGTATAATTTTTCATATTATTATTGTGTCTCTATCTTTTCCGTTATTGTTGTTTTAATATTTTTTTTTTTATAATTTATTTTTCAAAAATAAATTTCATCGCTTTAAGCTAAATAAGAGTCTATATAATTTTTAATGACATTTTGTAGGCAGTTTTTCTTTTTCTCTATAATGAATAGAAAAAAAATAAATAAATATTATAGGAGTAGTATATACCCTTCTTCACTCTCTATATATACAGTCAGACTACCATATTTAGCCCGTTTGAGATATAAAGCCCGGTTGAAAGAGAATTTGCGTTAATAGTTATAAAATATAAAATGCGATTTAATTATTTTCACATCCATTTAATTGTTCGCACAAAACAGTTTTTATTTCTAATTATTGTGTGTTTGCGTTTTGTACGTGAAAACAAAATCCAAACATTCCCAAAATTAATTAAACCAAAACTTTGGTGTTAAAGGCATTGTTTACATTAACATTGTTTTGCTTTAGAAAAATTTTTGCCTAAAAAGAATTCGTATTTGGCAATTTCGTGTTATTGAGACAATTGTCATTGAAATAACGTAAAAATTGTTCGCGTTAGGAGGAATTTCGGTTTTTTAAGGTTTCATGTAAGCACCTTGGATTCGTTAAAAATACAAGAAAATTGTGTTTATAATGCAAAATTCGATAAAACCCTTAATAATTCTTCAGTCAAGAAGAATTTCGTCTTACAGAGAGAGATTCATATTATAGGGGTTTAACTGTACTACATATACATATGGATATGTATATTTCATGCATATTATGTTTTTATGTATTGTAGTTACACACACATAAATATTACAAAATATATTATGTACTTACTGTTTGTAAAATGTCTTCAAAATAATATCTTATATTATTTTGTTATATATATATAGCAAATATAAAATATAACAAAATATAATATTGTCAAACTCAGTTGCGTACTTAGTCTAAATGCAATTTTTAAAAACAAAACAAAATTTGTTTTTATATTGGATGAATATTTTTGTTGTGTGCTAAAGTTTTGACCTGCTTGTGTAGATTACTTTATTTTTTATTTTAAATAAAATAACATGTTATTTATATGATTCAAATATCGAATCATCGAATATTATGTGAATTGAAGTAAATAACACTGGACATGCTAATAGAACTATGTTAATAGAACCATTGTACTAATTGACTTGTATATTTGTGCTTTGCAAAAAGTTTCTAGAAAAAACTATTAAAAAATCATTGACTATTTAATTGATTTTGATTATTTTGAATATTGTTTGAAAATTAAAAATAATGAGTAACATTAACATATAATAAAGAATACGAAACTGTAACAATGCTAAAAAAATATGCTAAAATTTTAAAATTTACTCTAACACAATTATAGAGTCGCCTCTTCCCAAAAGTGTAACACTAGCACTACATATTTACAAGTGAATTATTCCATTGCTGTCTAATGCTTCGCA